TACTACTACTACTACTACTACTACTACTACTACTACTACTACTACTACTACTACTACTACTACTACTACTACTACTACTACTACTACTACTACTACTACTACTACTACTACTACTACTACTACTACTACTACTACTACTACTACTACTACTACTACTACTACTACTACTACTACTACTACTACTACTACTACTACTACTACTACTACTACTACTACTACTACTACTACTACTACTACTACTACTACTACTACTACTACTACTACTACTACTACTACTACTACTACTACTACTACTACTACTACTACTACTACTACTACTACTACTACTACTACTACTACTACTACTACTACTACTACTACTACTACTACTACTACTACTACTACTACTACTACTACTATACTACTACTACTACTACTACTACTACTACTACTACTACTACTACTACTACTACTACTACTACTACTACTACTACTACTACTACTACTACTACTACTACTACTACTACTACTACTACTACTACTACTACTACTACTACTACTACTACTACTACTACTACTACTACTACTACTACTACTACTACTACTACTACTACTACTACTACTACTACTACTACTACTACTACTACTACTACTACTACTACTACTACTACTACTACTACTACTACTACTACTACTACTACTACTACTACTACTACTACTACTACTACTACTACTACTACTACTACTACTACTACTACTACTACTACTACTACTACTACTACTACTACTACTACTACTACTACTACTACTACTACTACTACTACTACTACTACTACTACTACTACTACTACTACTACTACTACTACTACTACTACTACTACTACTACTACTACTACTACTACTACTACTACTACTACTACTACTACTACTACTACTACTACTACTACTACTACTACTACTACTACTACTACTACTACTACTACTACTACTACTACTACTACTACTACTACTACTACTACTACTACTACTACTACTACTACTACTACTACTACTACTACTACTACTACTACTACTACTACTACTACTACTACTACTACTACTACTACTACTACTACTACTACTACTACTACTACTACTACTACTACTACTACTACTACTACTACTACTACTACTACTACTACTACTACTACTACTACTACTACTACTACTACTACTACTACTACTACTACTACTACTACTACTACTACTACTACTACTACTACTACTACTACTACTACTACTACTACTACTACTACTACTACTACTACTACTACTACTACTACTACTACTACTACTACTACTACTACTACTACTACTACTACTACTACTACTACTACTACTACTACTACTACTACTACTACTACTACTACTACTACTACTCTACTACTACTACTACTACTACTACTACTACTACTACTACTACTACTACTACTACTACTACTACTACTACTACTACTACTACTACTACTACTACTACTACTACTACTACTACTACTACTACTACTACTACTACTACTACTACTACTACTACTACTACTACTACTACTACTACTACTACTACTACTACACGT